CCCCCCCCCCCCCCCCCCAGGAAAACCGTCAGAGAAGACGTTTGCAGAGCTGGTAGAACTTGTACAACAGCATCAACACCCAAAGCATTGGACAATAGTGAAGCGATTCAAGTTTAGTACTCGATTCAGGAAACCAGGTGAGTCAATTGCTTCGTATGTACTGTAGCTGAATTAAGAAGCCTTTCAGAACAATGTGATTTCAAGAGCTCTTATTGGTGATCGGTTGGTGTGTGGAATAAATGACGAATAGATTCAGCGCAGATTGTTAGCAGAAAGTTCTCTCGACTTTACGAAAGACACAAAGATAACATCAATGGAGACTGCAGTAAAGAATGCACAAGGTTTTACATATCAGCCAATATAAATACTGAGAAACCTGCGACATTACACCGTCTAGAGACTCTAGACAACCAAAGACAAAGGACCAAACAAGGGCCAAAGCCTGAATGTGGACGGTGTAGTAAACGTGATCCTCATCAATGCAAATTTCGCGACACTGAGTGTTTCCTTTGTAACAAGAAAGGACACATGGCAAGAAAATGTCGAAGCAACTCTAAGGTGACTGGGAAAAATCAACGAAACAACAACCCTAACTCAGGCACTAGCAGCAACTATTTAAACATGAAGGATGACGAGATCGAAGAGGAAGACGACAACGATGGGATTTATAGTTTGGGGAAAACACGAGCTGAGCCACAGGTTGTTGATGTTCTGGCGAGCAATGAAAGTCTAAAAATGGAAGTAGATACTGGTACTGCAGTGAGTGTAAGGAGTAATATATATATATATATATATATATATATATATATATATATATATATATATATATATATATATATATATATATATATGTATATGTATATGTATATGTATATGTATATGTATATGTATATATATATGTATATATATATGTATATATATATGTATGTATATGTATGTATATGTATGTATATATGTATGTATATATGTATGTATATGTATGTATATGTATATATATATGTATATATATATGTATATATATATGTATATATATATATGTAT